AGAGTGGTATTACAGAGGCATATTATTCAGACCTTGTAAATGCGACACCAGTGTGCGGAACTACAAGGAGAGAGGAAAGGTGGCTAACAGTGGGATGAAAGTCTCCTAACTTTGGTATTCTGTAACATTAGACTTGCAGTGCCCAACACCGCTTGGTGCGCACCCCCAACACGGAGATTCTCCGTCAGCCTTGTTGACTGCTCCATGTTCTGCTCAAGTTCTCATTCAGAAAGGCCAGCTCAACAGCACGTATGAAAGGGCATGTCTGAAAAGTCTGAAATGTTGGACTCCCACAGACTTCAATGACATTTGGAACAGGCCTCAAATCATTCTCACCCACAACAGTTTGCTAAAACACATCAACTGGACAAACCAAAGAGACCATGAGCAAGTGCTCTCCCATTCCTGGACACGAGAAGTTACCAAATACCCCTTGCACTATTATTTAGGAAAATAATAACTTCTCAATATGCTTAGGTAAGTCATGTGATATTGCAGAGCATTACCATTTGAAAATGGTCCACTTTAACAGCAAGGCACTTGTTCAGTTGTTAATTATGAACCAAACCCTGCAATTTTCAGAAGAAGCAGAAGCCATGAATGCACATACCTGGGCCAGATTCTTCCGGAGCGGGGCTGCAATCTGCACAGAAATGGAGGGGCAACATGCATGATTAAGGAGCAGCAACACAGTCTAAACATAAGCAACTCAAATGCTCAATGCCAGGGTTCTCAAACACTTTCACCGAGAGAAGAGGAGCTCAGCAGAGATACTCCTTTGCCTGCGGGCACCGAGGGCATGGGCTGTCTCCGCCACTCCATTGTTTCTGATCAGAGGAACACCTGGATGGGGACTTGGAGGAAAGCCAGTACCCGCTAGCTCGGGGGCTCTCTGTGGATTACCAGCAAGCACACTGTCAATCCCCAGCGATCCACAGGGCACAATTTGAGAACCACTGGTTTAGTGCAATTACAGAATAAGCTGGCAGTAAGGCTGCTAAACAGAATAGCAAAAGACTAGCAGTAAGTTCAATGCACTTAACAGAAAATGACGTTAAGGCACCTACAACGCAAGAGTAATAAAGAAACAGTACTTTGCTATCTTAGACAAATTTCTGTTACACAATTTCTGAGATAGTTAACACAAGCATTAGATTGTATATTCAGGGCTGAAACCTCACCGGTGAAGCCTGTGAGTGTTTCACGCTCACTTCAGTGGGAGAAACAAGCTGTCAGATGAAAATACACTACAGTGCAATGCAAACAGTAAAAAGATAATATACACCCTGTTATAGCAAGTCTTGTATTAATGAAGAGTAGTTTATTAAGCTAACAGGATTTAAACTTCTGTTGTTTATATCTAGATTCACTAGTCAATGAATTACGAATTTGAAAATAACAACAGAAAATATCAAATTCAGTTGTATGCATTAGGACAATCAGCTGAGCTAGACAATCCAAGATAAAAACCTCTCAGTAAATTAAAAATCATTGTGTTCATTAAAGAAGCTGTATGCCCCCATGCAATTTTAGTAATGAATACCTACGCCTATAACAAAAATAAATTTTAAAATAAATTCTTAAGTCTCCCTTCTACTATTTCAGGCAGTATTTTCTTTCACAAACATTCATTTCTAGAGAAATCCTCTAAAGTCCTTCAATAACATTCTGCTGTCTTTCTCTTACCAATTCTGGAACTATCTTCATTTGCTGATTTTTACATTGCTTTAAAAAAAAAGTTCTGGCTGCTCTCTGCTCAGTGTCACTTACTCAAAACTCAGAATTACTACTAGAAAAAGTGTTAGTTCTTTGAATACATGACAAGGAAAAACTTTAAAATGTTGTGATTCTGAACTTAGAGACAGGACCTTCTTTGTCCCTCAATTATTCCCATGATCAGTTGTGGACTGTGACAGTGAAAGGGAATTAACAGGCCAGGTTTGGTGTGGAGTCAAGGAAAGTAACTCAATGGGAAAATTCCCATTGACTTCAGTAAGACCATTTTTTTCATAGTATTGAACCTGTTCCTCCGTCAACAATACTGACCGTTAATTAGGAACTACAGCCGATGAGAATGTGATCAAGTACTCAGCTTGCCCTGGCTTACAATAAACTTCCCAAGTGCAATTGCTCATTAAGACCTACGAACAATGTTTGCACCAGATACCTAAGAAACAGGATTCCCTCTCCAGGATTTTTAACTTAAATTCACCCAACATTGGTTGACAGTCAGACTTCAGACCTAGTCCTTACACTTAGGTAGCACTGGGAAACAGCAGCAAGCCCCTCAGCTTTAAAGTTTGCGACACTTCTTGGTTTAATGTTTCTGACCCAGGTTCTGCAGATTAAATGAAAAGATATTTTTCCTATTTTGGAGGAACAGCAGGGAAACTCTTGGCACAAACAAACCCTTTGGTAGGTAAGTGCAGCTAATTCCACTTTTATATGGCATAAGTGTCAAGATCCAGAGTAGCTTTAAAAGATTGACTGAAAATGAAAGAAAATTATTGTTCTAAGATGCTTTCAGCATTGAATTGTCTTGGGAAAAGCTTCTGATATCACCCACCACAGATTTTTCCTATTCTTTTTAATATTAAAAATCCACAACTTTTAATCATTGATATGAAGGTGTTTTGAAGTTTACTGATAAAACTTTCATGTAAATACATATAAAACTTCATGTAAACTATCTAGCAAATAAAAACATTTAAAGGTATCAAACTGGTAGAAGAAACTTAGTCAAAGGTTAATAGAGAACACATTCTGAAACAAGAACCAACTCTCCTATTCCTTTATAATACACAAAAAAGTCAGTCTAACCTAGAAAAACATGGTCATTTAAGATACTAAGCAAATGGTATGTAACATGTACAGAGCTAGACAAAAATATACTAACATGTATTTTAACTTCCTTCTTGCTTTCCTTTTCTTAAGGTACTGCCTTCCACTGCAACATTAACAATGGGATGGACATGAAGTCACAGACACACGTAAGGGACAAAGGGCCATCAAATGATAAGACAGAACAGGAAAAAGGAAATGAAATCACAAATCAATCTTTCTAGAGCTTAACTTGGCACACCTGCTCTATTAAGTGGCCAAATCATAGTGACCACATATAAAGAATGTGAGAATAAGTCAAATAAGTACATATGTAAATGAAATCATTCTGAAATTTAATGTACAGCTGCAAAACTGTCAACCTAAATTGATAACGGTATCTTTTATTCACATGCTCATGGCATTACGCTGGATTCAATCCAGCACCCACTTTATCTCAAATTTTGACAGGATTTATTCCACTGAGAGCTTGCACTGCCCATTCCTACCTTCCAGCTACAAGAAGTCTAACTAATTGAGTGCCTCAGCACCACAGCTTTTGACAACTTGGGTTGAAATTTGCTTTAAACTCCAGTAGGTTCATCCAAGTTCAGCTCAGTCTAAGAGGACTGCTTGGCTCCCCTCCTATGCTTTGGCAGCCCAGCTGGGACCATTAGTACTGCAGTAGTGCCTGCACTTCTCTCATGTTTTATCTTTTATAGAGGTTCACTGTAATAAGCTTTGATTGCTGCAAAGAAGCTGAAGCCTACAGGAAAGCTACCAGAGGTGGTGTCTGACATATGCTAACCCAAACAGCTGTTTTACCAGCTTAAAACACCCACCGTGAAAACCAAATGCCACCGTCATCAATGGATCTGGCAATGATTTCAGTGGGATCAGGATTTCAAAATACGCCATGGGCTTCGCAGCTCCCGGTATATCACCAGCCCTTTCTGCCTGACGTCAGTGCTTAACACCACCACTGAACTAAAAACACATGGAAGGATGTAACGGAGGCTTAGGAATGATGCCAGCGCACAGGAAGAGAGCAGCAGTGAGAAGCAGTGTCTGGCATACGCACTTGTCTTTCTGAGAGAATGGCATGCACAAGATGGTGTGGATGAAGGTGGTGGTGAGGATGATGAAGGTGGTGAGGATGATGAGGTCTCATTTAAATCTTCTGGATTTATCCAGTAGGCACGAGTGTCCCGATTACCTTTCTTACTAGTACAGCTGATGTCGCACTGGAAAACATCTTCACAGCTGTCACTTTGCAAACGCTCCTTCTGGAGAAGTTTGTCCACTCTTTGTATAATACACTCCAGACTTTTGTCAACATTCAACCAAACTTTCTCCTTAAAAGAAAACATTTATTTCTCAATTTAGAAAGAAAAGAGACATTGGGTAACAAATCCCTTGGCAATATATTTCCTCCTGTGATTCTAGTCACAATTCCTCTGCAAAGTTTCCTCTGGGCTATCATGTTTACATTTGTGCACACACAAGTTCTGGATATATAAATAATGGATGCCAACAATATGTAGTGACATGACTTGTGTGGTAAACTGCAAAGCTACTTTCTAAGTAAATTTGCTGAACAATTTTAAGTGCCTCTTCCTGCACTATTATTCCAATTTCCAGTTGGCACTATTGTTTATTCTTGAAACTCATGTTTGACATAATAATTGTATACAATCACACATCTTTTTTCCTATATAACTCAGTGAATAACAGATAAAATTACTGTATTGTATTACTATCTAAATAACTGAATTGGTTTTATTCATATGTCATCACTGTAAGTTTGACTATAAGTCAAAGTATATCAAAACAATTAAAACTAGCAAGGATCCATTTCCAAAATTAATTGGATCTCATTTCAAAATTGATATTTCACAATATTAATAATTGTTTTAATTACTCGTGACTATTTTTGAGATTTAATTAACTTCTGCTTATATTACACAATGACAGGATTTACACAGCCCAATTCTCATTTCAATTGGCAGCGTGGTAAGGAAAACCATTTAAATACTTTGTACAAACAGTTTTAAAATGCTGTTCGTAATCAAAACGGAGATAGACAGCAAGTTCTAAATATTTAGATGAGAATAAAAACCAGGAAGGCTGAATTGTATAGCTAACATATGCAAAATATGCTTTAGTTTGGAGAAGTGTAAAAGCCCTTTGTAGTACAGTCAGTTTTTTTACTTTAAAAGCTATTTACTTTCCCTTGGAACTGACTTCAGAAAAGCCATGCAGCTACTGTAACAAATTCTGCTGTTTAGAAGACCCAGAAATATTTATTAAGGCCTGTTTGTATCCCCATGCCAAGGAGTAACTGAGCATAGGACAGAGGCAACCTCTTTGCTAGTCGACCAATACTTCCAAAATACTCATCCTATGCGTATCTGGTGAGCAGTTACAGAGCTTATAAACAAAAGAACACAGCAAACAAAAACTAGAAAGAAGAAAATATTCATCACTCCACTAAGCAAACGTACCCATTCCTCTTCATGCCAATCCACCTGCAGCGAAGATCGGCTATTTCTTCCTGTCCATCTGGCCACAAGTGTATCTTGATCATTCCTCAGCATCACTTGCTCCCCTTCTCCAGAGGTTGGAGATGCTTTTGAAGCTATATAGTCTGGCCTTGCAGCATTCAGTCCATGTATTGAATTTGCCAACAGCTTACAGTCACATACTGTGACAAGTTGCCGGGTCTAAAAAGCAATAACCCCCCCACATTTTAACAACTTTTCATTATTCCGTACACGATTTATACTATATTCTTTCACGGAAAGAAAAAAGAACTAGTATTCTGTAAAAGAAACTAACCGTTGTTTAGGAGTGTCTAAGGTGCCTTTAAAATCGTTTTACAGAATGGCCTTAAAAAGCAACATAGGATACCAAAACACAACGGTACATTTCCAAAGTCTGTACTACTATATTAGCCTTGCAATTGTTGAAAATTTCACTAATAAACGTGCAATTCACCTTTATTTACACTTCACTTTCCATGTGATGAAAGCTTAGAACAACATGCAGACATTTTTATACCCCACACAATAGTTGCCACGCCAGAGAGACCATGCTTAACCTCCACCATCCTGTCCAAAATTATAACAAGACTTAAGAGGAGGGCTGAGGATATAACCCACTAATCAATGCAACTTGTTCCCTGTCTTATTTAGTGGTGTTGTATTAAAGGATTTCTGTAAGTTATGTGAGTATGAAAAGTGTTTGGCCTGCCTGCCTGCTAAAAAAAGAAAACAACAAACAAGCTCTTACTATGTTATATATACACACGTTGTTCAGCTGTAGAAAATCCCACACATCAGTTATACACACTGTACTCATTTAGAGTGAATATTATACATTTATTAATACATTTACATGGGATCACATTATTTTTTGCACTCTACAAAGCTGTATGCATATCCCCTCCACTGGGACAATTTATGGCAAGCTAATTGGCCATTATTGCCATTTACAACCTTCAGATCTGCTTCAGGGACAGAAGAGGTCAGTGAAACTGTATTTGGCTTTTTGTCCCTGTAAATAAGATTGTGTTCAGCTGTGGGTCCAGTCTGGTTTCTGTTAGCACCCATCAAGAAATAACTGATTCACATCACTGTAAGTCAAGCAAAGGCTGTGTCACCATTATCCCTTATTTCACCAGTGGAAAAATACAGAATTGTTTCATTTACTTAAGTTTTGCCCAGTTGCTGCTGCTTGACAGATGACTCAGAGGAACATTAATAAAAACAAGTGGATTTGGAGAAAAGAGTATAAAAGAAACTGAAGAATTCTGGCGTATGATGAATGAACAGAGGGAACCAGAGGACATTGCTCTCCATTGCACTCTCAAGAGGAGGTGAAGGCAAGAATGTGAAAAGTAGGAGACAACCTAAATAAAAAGCAGCAAATTCTAAAGGCTGATCTGATTTTGCTTTTTCTTTACAACTGTACACATTACAATACACTGCTGAACAAAGTAAAATAGATGTTTCAAGAAAACCTACTAAAGATAGAGACAGAGAAAAAAAAATACACTGTGCTTCAGTGTGGAAACGTATTACTCTCCTACCTTGTCTGCTAGGATGGCAAGTGTTCTTTCAAGGCCATTAGCTGATCTATCCTTGGCAGCTCTGGAGAGCCTTTCTGCATAGTAACTGACTTGTGTTTTCAGGGTGTTGATTTGTGCAATAATTTCCTTTGCTCTAACAATGTCCTGTGGGATGTATATTATAGACTGGGAACTTGTTGAAGTGCTGAAAAAGAAAGACTGATTTTAGGGGTAAAATTGATCTAGAGGTACACACATTACAGTGGCATGCTGGGGAATTAATGGCAGACAACAAAAATTTACCTAAGCTAGCAATCAACAGTGAAAGGCCAGTGGGCAATTGCACAGCAGGAACATGATCCTAGAGCCTTCTCTGCCTTTACTGAAAGCATTCAGATGCAGATTTACTAATCCCTTATGCCAAGGGGCTGCGGGCAGAGCTTGTATACCAGAGGGATAGTTTTGCTGAGGAGAACGTGGGTGACAGATTTTGCCATCAGATACAGAACCACTGTTTGCAGAGACAGCTTGCCCCATTCTCCCTCTCCTTACCACACAGACACTTCACTTAGGCCTGGTTTACAAACCTGTTTTATTACATAGCTACTAGCACCACGAAAAGAAAATCTGCACTCCTTCTGACACAGAAATGCCACCCAGATCCATAATACAAACACTGTGCTATTAACAAAAAATCCTTCTGCTAGTATATCCTTTCCTCTATTGCAGGCCTGCTTCAAGTTACACCAGCAAAAGCAATCTTATGATATATAAAAACCAAAGTATATCTCCAGACTAGCTTCTGTTAGCACACACTTACTATACTAAACTAGGGACATGATACAACTCTCCCTATAATAAACTCAGCTGTAACAACATAAAGCAATACCAAATTTTGGCCTTTTCCAAATAGTAAGGGAAACGAACTATACCAATAAAACATATCTTTATATTGGGATATTGCAGCTCCACTAGGACTGCTTACTTGGCAGTGGAGGAGAATAGCTTATGTCCTCTAAGTCTAGATGTCTACACAAGTTGCTCACCCAGTCCAAGACAGATGCTTGGACTCCCTCTGTAACTGCTGGAGAGAGAACAGCACTTCTGAAGGGTGATTTAATCCTGCCTGAGAAGAACTGTTCACAAAAGCTGCCTTTTAGCTTAGAAAATTACTTTATGCTGAAGTTGTGCTCTTAGTTAACTATTTGGAACCAACCCACCACTACTCCCTTTGCCAGGCAATATGCTGTTTTTTTTTTCCTCCCAGTAGGAAAGCTATACAAAGATCAGGCCTTTACATGAGGTCCAGCTGTGACAAGTGTGATGCCCGTTCATGACATGGCATCAAGCATGAGGTGACACCAATTGTATATTATCTTAATTTTATTCATTTTTTCCAGTCATGAATGGCTTCAGCATAGTAACAGCACAAAAGAACCCACTGTTTGCATCAATCTCGGCACTGCCTGATGGGGACAGCCATGCTGAGAAACTACACAGAGCCGAGTGTCTTCTCCAGGCACAGTTACCTTAGATCACGACTTCTGAGGAGTGTGAATTCCTCTGCTACCCCTAGAGCAATGCTATTAATTTCTGCAGCATGTCTGTGAGGTAGAACAGGAGGGTTGTGTGGGGCATGCTTTAAAGTCACTGCCACAAATACCAGTTCTTGTCCCTTAACTGATATTAAGGCAAGGGGGGAACTTAATCCCAGTATCTGTCTGAGCTCCATTACAAGAAAAGGTGGGGGATTTGTTTTCAAAGGGTATAATGCAGAAGTGATTCTTGAAAGAGTTTCCTTATTTGTGTCCCTCTGGTCACCCACCTGAGTGGAGCAGAGAACAACCACTCACCAGTACTGCTATGCCAAACAGCAAATTAATCTCAGCTTTTAGGACTTTCCCTGTACAGGATTTGTGCTCTCTATTGACCAGTGATCTTAGCGACAATTCCTCTGAGCAATTTCTTTCCACGACAGTGTGGTTAACATGCATAAAGACGTATTTGGCAGGAAAGGCCATGCAGCATATTGAGATCTGATTTAGAATTATTACTTTTTTAATCACAAACATTTTCTGGGATGATCAGGGGGGAAAAATTCATGGTGTAAAGTTCACATGTATTTACTTTCCAACCTGCAATTGCTTTTTCAAATGAACAGCTCTCCTTGTGCTATATCAGAAAACCGTAACACAGCCTTAAACTCTCAGTGAATTAGGGGTTCAACCTTTAATATGAGTAATTTAGAGCAGAACTTCTGCGCTGTTGAACCATCAAGAAATGCTTCCTTTTCATAGCACTGAACACCGTAACATGAACAAAAAATAAACAAAAGTTAAGTGAAGTTTAAGTGAAGACATGGGTTACAAAAATATAAATCATGTCCACTCTATCGCCATAAAGATTTAAAAATATGTAGAGTTATCTTAATTATCTTCCACCTCTGGCAGAATGTTTCTCTCTCCAGGCAGTTTTCACTGGAAATCACAGAGTAAAAGATACAAAATTCTTGTGTTCTGATCTTCAGTTTTCTAACTTCTTATGATCAAAGAGAGCCAGGAAGCTAGCTGTTCATTATAAACCAACATTGCAGATGAAATGAAATTCATTCACACATCATGTTCTACAAAGCAGCTACAATTACTCAGAGCACAATTAGGGATGCCATGACGCATGACATTAAAAGCCCTGCACACTTTAAAACACACCAGATCTTTGCCAAAGAAAAGAAAGAAAAGAAAAATAAAACAACCCAAAGAACATAAACCCTCTCTACAGAACTCTCAGAAACAGAAAACTCACCAACACTCCTCATAACTGCTAAAAAAAACAAAAAACCAAAATAAAATTAGCAGATTGTTAGCAAATACCAAAAGCAGAAAACAAAACAAAGGATGTCTGGGGAAATAACTTATTTGAGTCATCTTTTCAACGAGGCAGGTACACAATGATTAAACTTGTAAGCAAAAAAACACAGATTGCCAGATGCCCACGTGTTGTTCTGGGGAAATGTTGTGGACGCACCAAGCACAGTTTTGCCAATGAAAGGAGAAAGAACTGAACAATATCTATACAACAGTGAAACTGAGGAGATGGATCTCAGTTCTACTATACTGGCTTTTACGATAACATAGAAGTACTTGAAAGGAAAGTTATTCTTCAAATGTTGAACCTGCAGTTTTCATGGACTCAGAAAGAACCGTTCTGTAAAGCTCAGAGGAAAAGTACTGGAGAGAAATTAAGCTCAGCTTAATTATTGGATGGGGTGAAACAAACCAAAACCAAAAGACACAGGAACTTAGATACTGCAGGAGTGAGGCCCACTTCAGTAGCTAAGCTGACAGAAGGAGGTTACTTCAGAAAGCAATAGTGGTATCAGAAGAACAGGAAGGGTGAGCCTAGCATACAAGTGTTTCTAGGTTTACCGTTTCCTCTAGTCCCATCCTAGCACACTCTGTATGTCAGGAGTAATTACACCAGGCATATTTTCACACCAATCTTTTTATCAGTACGTATCTGACTGAGGTTCATAGGATGCTGCTATTCACTTCTCCACTGCCAAAACTAATCCTGCAGTTGGCAGAGCCTGGTTCCCATGTCACTCTCTCCTCCCATCAGCTCCGAATCATACAAAACCTTTCTTTGGAAGGGCATTATCAAGGTCTTCTTTTCCCTGGCTACAATGATTCCTTGTCCTGCTGCTCTCATTGTTCCTTAAATTCTTCATACTGCAGCAAAAATAATGCAGACCCAGACAGCATTATCTCTTCCTTGGGAGCTGGAGTGGGTGCAGGTCTCTCCCTCTTGCATATGTGACCTTCCCAATTTCTGCCCTTTCCTCTAGTACATGTGGTTGCACTTCTAGAGAGGTTACTAGACAGTCCCTGAAGCCAGGACTGTGGAGGTCAAGTATCCTGCCTGTAGAGCAGAGTGAGGCCAGACTCAGAAGCCTAATCTGTGCATAAACCTTGAGGCAGTACAGAAAAGGCGCCAGTAATAGTCCCAGAACTAAACCCAAGTTGTCAACAAGGAATTTGCCTATCAGTGACAGCTGTTCTGTACTAAAGAGAGCTGAGCAACAGCACCTTGAAGCTATGAGAGGGGTGAAAGTCTCCTGAAAATAATGGGCTGAAAGCATGATGTAGTGCAGCTGAGGAGGTTCTACAGACAAATTTTCTAATCCACAATTAGGAAGAACCCAAACCCAACACATTAAATAGCTAAAGTAAATGAGCCAACAAGTATTCAGGAAAATGAAAGATTTCACTAAAAAGACTATTAGAAAGGGTCCCTCAGTAAACAAACAAATATGGTAATATCAAGGGGAAACTGTTTTCCTTCTCCTTCTTTGGAAAAAAAACATGGACTCATCTTCACATTGTATAGTAGAACTATTGAATGAAGTGCAACAAAACCAGAGAATGGAATGATTTTCCAAATCACTGAGCATGGACTAGGAGGAAAAGGCACAATAACAGCTGACAACAACACTTCTACTTACTGTTTCTTTGCCTCTTCAAATTTATGCAGCTTTTTCCGCAAGCCACCCGATTTAAAGCCTTGACAATGAGCTGCTGGTGCTCCTATGGTGACTATGTCGTAGTTCTGATCTGGGATGGACAAAAAGGACTTACAAATGAAAGCTTGTCATCTTTACTGTGGACAAACAATTGTGGAAATTCAACTACTCTGAAATTTTGTAAAACTTTCTGCCAGTGTTTTGAAGGACATGGAAGACTGAATTGTTTGAGACACCCTGGAAATCCATCAAGTACTTTTGAGGTGAAAGAACCATACTTGAATGCAAGTCCTCTGTTTCTTAATCTAGAAGACTGACAGTGAAAAAGAAGCCTTGAACATTGGTCTTTACACAAAACCTGCCATTACTGGAATCTCTCACATGGACAGGATACATGGGACAAGTGTGTGTCCATAGTTAGTAGGAATTACTGTTAAATGAAGGGAAAGCGTAGGTTATTTATGAAGAAACAAGCTTGATGTGAACAAACTGGTGTCATTTTGCGTAACTGTACATGATGGTTCCAGAGAAAAAGTGCACGAGCTTAACAACAAACAACAGACAGAACCTTTGCTATTCTGCTACAATCCAAAATGAGTGGAAGGGACACAGCAGGTTAGTCCAACATATTCCTTAGTACAAAGGCTGACTTGTGCCACCTAGGGTACAGTTAACTCCAGAACCTAGTTTTGCCACCTGTAGAATAGCGATAATTATACTTGCACCTCTTCTTTTGCAATGAGATTTGGAATCCAAGGACAGAAGGGGCTACAAAAATGCCAAGTAGCACTAGTACTACAGAGCAGTAGTTTATAGAAACTTGGCTATATGGTTGAGGATGGAAATCAAAAAATGGAGAGAAAAGTAACAGAATAAGGTGAAGAAAGAGAAAAAGAAACAAATACCTGATCCTCCATCATCCTGGACTCTCATTCTCTGTATATGTAAATTTGTAGGAACAAATTCCAATTTTTTATCAGCTTTCAAGCTACTGGCTTTAAATGAAGGACCTGAGAAATACAGGAGAAAAGTAAGCATAAAAACCCTCTGCTTCTGCTTATGCTAAAATATTGAAGGAATTTCATTCATTATTTGCTACATGCTGAAAGTAAAACAGAGAAAAAAAAGATATACCTTTCTGTTACCATTCATAATTGTTCTCTGTTTTCAGGGTAAAATAAGAGGATGAATAAAGCAGAGAAATATTCTCAGATCATTAGCAAACTCACAATAAATGTTAATAAAGAAAAGAAATCTAAACCCAGTATTTTTTACTCATCAAACTAAAACATTCTGGGTTCCCAGTTTCGGAGAAGTACTAACAATCACGGTTGAGAAGTATCACATTGTTACGAAAAAGAAATCACCTTTATACTGGTGCAGGTCAGTTAGATTTTCCTGGTAAGTTAAAATAATTGTTTGGTACTGAGTAACTATTTGTCGACGAAGGCTTTCCCAACAAGGAGACAGTTCTCCCAATTCCTCTAGTTCACAAACCCTAGGGAAAAAGAAAAAAAAAAAAAAAAAAAGAAAAGAGAGAGGTGTTTAGCTCCATTGTCCACTTGACCAAGAACGAGTTTCACATTTTATCAGCGTAGCACTATCCTCAGCTGACACATTCTCAATTCACTCTGGTCTAACCTAGTCACCAGACTGGGAATGCTTCCAAACATACATCCCACAGCACAGCTGTTGAGCAGTTCTGCAAGGTACATAGGTTCCTCACAGGCAGAATACACCATGTTCCCCCCAGGAGCGTCAGGTGTTGGTCAAAACCAAAGCTTCCCACCTTTCTGCAGGAGCTTCCAAAGTATGTGATGATTTGCAAATGACAGGCACTGTCATCATCTCATGCGACTTGGGACAATGAGGACCTTTTTAGGCTACTCTGGTGAACTTTGGTGGCTCTCAAATTAAATCAGAACTGTGACACAGCTTAGGTGGGAGATTAGCACCTATCTGACATTAGGTACAAGGAGTATCTGCGCTGGCCAGGTATCTACACAACAGTTTTCAAGGCCAGGCAGGGAAGGTCTAAGAAGCGGGAGCATTAATAAGGGTTTGGAGAGACAAAAGATGAGCCAACAAAACCTTCATCGGAGATTTTGGATTGTAGGCACTCAAGTTTCACTGTAGGTGGAATAAAGGACGACTGGGTACCCCTAGATATGAACAGGAAAACCCCTGGCTTTCCCATTGCACCCTGACTGCTAGATTTTCCATCACACATGGCAATCCTGTGTTACATACTGTTCCCCGACAGTGGTGCTGAGAAAATATGCAGTGTATTTCATGTCATGCTTGTATTACTGTCTTCTTGGATTAAGATATTATTAAGAATAAAGGAAGAAGGGAAAAAGTAAACCAGTCAACACCAGACATAATTCAACAGCACGTTACCCCAGAAAAGGTCGAACAATCATCTGTCAAAAGGATCAGCAGTTCTTTTTGCAGTTCTCTCAATATCCTTAATCCATAGTTTTAATCAATTGTCTGTATATAATTTAAGATAGCATTTCACAGAACAATTTCCATTCCATAGTATTTAGGATATTATCAAAAGGAAGCAAATTTCCAAGAAAAACACCAGACTGATTTGCCAATAGGCAACAGTGTAAACTATATTTATCAGGACTTGGAAAAAGACACTTCCAGTTTCATCTTGTAAACTGCTTCTGCATAAGATGCTATTATGACCACCTTGTCAAGCTCCCTGCTCAAAACAAGCCGTGCATTTGAGCCTAGGTCTTTCTGAAGTAAATTCACAGCTTAACACTTCAAGTTTACTTGTTTGTCCCATAGGGCTAAGATAGCAGGGGATGTGCACACGATAAATAATTAGCAGTTAAAATATGCCCCCCATTAGATGTTTCCTTTCAAAGAGCTCTGGCCCAGAAGGGCTCTATGTAAGAGACAGCATTTGTGATTATCCAAGGACATTTTAAAAGTCACCAAGATGTTAAGACAGAAGCAGCTGTGCTTGTGTTGGAGAAAAGAGTGCCTGGCCATATCTGAGAGATCCTATGAATACAAAGTGTGATTGTGCTATTTCCCACACTGTAACAAAACAGGGCACTAATTCAAAATGAACATGACAGTAACCCACCTTAAAGAAAAATAATCATTTATTAGAAATATAAAAGCACTGACAGAAAAGAATTCTGCATGTCATTGAGGGTCACCTCAACTGAACAGAGAGAATGGAGTCTTTCTCGCTAATTACACAAAAGTCATATTTACCTTTGAGCCACACAATTCAGAGCATACAAAGTTGTATTAGCAATCACCTGGGCTGTTATTAACCCGCAACTGTATACAATATGCATCCATCAATCTCTATATGATTTTAGCAAGAGCCTCTGAGCAGTCACATTTCATGGCTAACACTTTAAGAAACTTCACTGCCCACAGAGTCTTACAGGAAGCCACATCTTTTTTCCCCATTCACCCTAAATTCTCCTCTTATTATCTTCAAGTCTTTAAACTACATCCACCACAGATGGCACCTTATAGGTAAGCCTGCCAACTCTTTACAAGATTATGGCTGTACCTCATAATGAATAGGTGCTTTTAAACATACTGTGAGGAAAGCTGTAGAGAACCAAATATATAAAATAAACCATGAATAACACATGTCTAAATGTGTAATGGCATATCCCAAGCCCCCTCCATCAAGGTTGTAGCAGGACAACTATGCAAGATACAGCATTCATTCTCTAGAATCTAAAATCTGACTACTCTTACTAAGTGCACGTCACTAGAAAAACAAAACTCAACAGCAGAAAAAAAAAATCTATGTGAACTTTGGAAACTCAAACAGTCATGTCATGCATTAGTTTTTCCATACATTACAAAAATTCACTGCCTTCTTGTGAGAATTTATCATTTTTGCAAAATACTATTTTCATACTTGAAAACACCATAGACTAATTCTGCCTGCTTCCATGGATTAACACATGATTTTCTTTCACAATATCCCAAAGGAATAGGATATTGAGAGCCCTAGGTAGTTTTACTATTAATTAAGGTCAGACTTAATTGGGCCTCTAGGAGTGCATTCAAACACAACGAAAATAAAACCCCAGTACTCAGAAATACAGCTAAAATTCTTTTACCATCCCCAACCTTGGCTTTTATAAAGAATACACAAACCATTATGTTTGCAAACCACAGCCTACAAATGTAGGGAAGTAAAAGACATAAATGGGTATGTTGCCTGGAAGAGAGTTAATTGCTTCAAGAAGCAGCAAATTCGGAATAAACCTACAAAATGCTTAAGAGATTTCCTTCTCTCTCCCACCTCCTAAAATGAGAAAAAGTCATTACTGTCCTACAGTGCCTCATTTTACTTGCTTTTATTCTGTTTGCTTTCCATTCAAAACTAACCTTCTGACTCTCAAAGCCATCTCTTAACTCACTGAGAGGAGTCAGTGCTCCTGTCATCTATCTTTGCTTTGCTTTCATAGCACAGAAGTCAACTGACTTTTTCAAAGTTCACCTTCAAAGTGGTTCTGATTTTTCTTCTCTGTCTGCTACTCTAATTACTCATTCCTCCTCAGCTGGTTTCTGTGCTGCTTCTGTTCTTTTCTCAAAATTCTCAGCAGCTGGAGTTACTACTTTTTCATTTATGCTGTGTCATCTATCCAGACTTCCCCCTACCTATGAAACATTGAGATACGTTTTATTTGTAACTCAAATTCATTTTTCTCTTCATATTAAAAATAAACTATGTTTAAAAAAACAAAGTGTATTCAAGTATATAAATGATTATATATACATAAAAACATAACGTATTCTACCGTGCTGGTCCTAATACAGTCACATGACTATGGAATAATATATTCTGGGCCTTACCAATACTGTTTTGAGAGGAACAGATAACCCATAAATGCAGATAACTGCAGTATGATCCTAAGTGTTAACTCCGCCAACAATTCTCTCCCATCATAACCTCTGTATGTTCACGTTACCATACACTCAAGCCCAAACTCTATACTCTGACATGAAATCTCATTCACTGTAACTGTACAGTCAGCAAGTTGCTGCTTTTACTACTTTTTCCTCAGTGCCTCCGTGCATTAACACGGATAACTCAATAACTCAATGACAGCCCTGTCATTGCTGTATTACTGCACATGCAAACCAGTCCAAACTCACCTTGCTGCATCTTCTTCTAGAAGAAGCTTCACAAATTGCCTGGGGATGTGCAGCGAGAGGACACTCTCAGCCATCTGCTCCAAGATTCTCAAGTGGTTTCCATCAGTGGTTGGGAAGCGATACATTCGGCAAATGGCGCCACCAAACACTGAAGAATTAAAATAATGTTATTTTAGCATAGTGTTTGAGTTAAAAGTGTACAAATTCTCTCCTTTTTTAAAGTAAATGGCTTTGATTCACTAACGTGCTACAACACACTGCCGTAAAGATCTGGTTCAACCAGGCATCAGTCTAGCTTTTCCAAGCATGGTCATTCTGCAATGACCATTCTTCCAGAGTTTGCAGGCAAAGCCTCCAAATGATTTAAAACACTGGTAAGGAAATAAAATATATATTCAACTTTTGAACAACTTTTTTTTTTTTTTTTTACGTACTGTGCATTTTCCTCTCATGCAATAATTTGCTGGAAAATCTTTCTTCAAGAAATTTTTTTAAAGCCACTGCTTTCCTCTGTCCCTCCCCTCACCCGCCAGTGATTGCTTTGGAATAGACTAGCAAATTGCATGGAAAATTTTACACTATAGTCAACTTAATGATTAAAGTTTGCTTCTGCTGTTTTTACTATACAAATGATAAAAGAAAATACGCAGATGATAAAATAATTTATTCTTCTACGACCCTCAGAGGGCTGCTCAATCAGCAGCCTGTTCCTATTCGAATGAAACATCTGCTTAGATGCCCTGGGGCCACAGGCAGACAGCAAAAGATTAGCTTTTACTGATGCCTAAAGCTTACTTGTTACAGCCCACAGCAGCTTACCAGATTTCAGTAGTGCATCTTTCCGTAATGAAGCATATTTGGATCTGATTCCTAAAGATTCTGTTAAACTTTCATCAACTGGCAACACGGTCTAAACAAAAACAAAAATCCCAAATAGTAAAGAATAAAACTTCAGTGCAACATGCAGTGATGACCCAATTATATAGGCTTGAAAAGAATATTCAACACAACATGTTTAAAATAAATATTTCAAATATGTTTACTGTGGACAAAAAATACTGCGGGCTGAAATAATAAATCCACTTAAACCATCTAATCTAAGCATTCCTATTTACTTCTACTGCACAGTTCAAAATGCTGTGAAAATTTTTATCCAGCCCTTCAACTACTTTATGTTAGCACAGCTCCAGAGCTGTTAACGGTACCGCATCAATATGTGCCAACTACAGGTCTGGCTGGATACAAAGTGATGCTAATCCACATTGTGACTGTGATAGACAGATATGAGTGCAATTATCACCAGGATATTCAGAACACAGGGTTTACAGAATTAGATATATGTCTAGGCTGAGAAAGAGCTACAAATATCTGCTCTCAAACAAATATTTGGGGATCACAAAAAAAGAATAATAATCCAGTATTCAAGTAACCTGTTCAGTTTTATTAAAGTCTTTTAAGGTATTTCTTTTTAAAAAATTGCCTGTGAAAATTCTGGAAATTGCCTGAGCATCCCCATCACAGCTTTGCTTGATGCCACCTTCCAATTCACAGGTGTGCAATACCACATCTTTGTGAAACTGGTTATCAGTGCGCCAACGTACAGTACCGCAAGCCTATTCTGATGAAAGGCACGAGGGCTTGAAGCTAAAGCTTAATCACTGTAAACTAAAATTTTCCCCAAGACTTTTAACAAACATTAGCACCGAGAGCTCTGCAAAAACACAAAACTGCTTCATCACCATTAGGCTGCTTTCTACAGTATTTTGAAATTGTAAAGCACTACTAAATACCATGATGGACAGGAAAGGTGACAGCAGATCTCAAATTATCTTCAATACTACCAATCAGTCTGCATCTTTCTGAAGCTGATACAATGCTCATACTCACCCTTCCATTAATTGTATCGGGTGACCTTGTCACTGGAGGCCTTTGGTCAGTTTTTTCCTCCATTTGCCATCCAATAACTGTAATGTTACCTACACGGTCACTTTCAGCCGACCTGCAACAAACACTCTGCGTTGAGATTTTTTTGGAGGTGGACCTGTTTATCAACAAGGGAACACTTATAAAAGGCTATTAATCTTCAAACTTAATGAATATTTTAAATAGGAAGCTTTTCAACTTCATTTTCCATATTTTTATAATGTGTTATTCCAACAGGAAAACGCTCCCTTCTTTCTGCAAGGATGCTGTACAGACCTCCTAATTGAAGGCAACCTAAAGCCACGCATATGTTTCAATACTTCTGTAAAACCAGGAGTTCAGATTTTATAATTAGCCTGTTGTAGGCAAAAGCAGCTTAAATTGTGAACATTAACAGGGAGCAGATAACTGGATGTACATGCACACGTGTGTGTGTGTGCCTGTGCGTGCGAATGTCTGAAACCAAACTTTTTAACTCTCAATCAGAAGCCTGCTACTTGCTAGCTGCAACTGGTACAGTTGCAACTGGTAAATTTTGATAATACGTGGACTGAACAGAAGTAGCACGTCCCAAATCTTCCACTGAATAGAGAAATCAGTCAAGGCCACCAGTTAGGAGGCTGATCACATCTTGTGCTTCTGCAGATAGACTATTTAGATTGAGAAAACTGGGAGCCTGACATTCCAGAAAGAAAACCTGATGCTAAAAAGAAGGATCCTATAAAGAAGTGGTCTAGGGAAGAAGAAGGTGAAGATTCTCAATGGAGAAAAGATCCCTGAGGTGGAGGAAGATCCTGGAGATCAGGGAGTTGCGTGGAAACAAATGCCGGAGATCCCCAGGGACCTGGCCACTGTCAGCCGAGGAGCTGCACAGCACAAACTGACACAACTTTCTGTCCCCTTCCCAGACCCGCAGCCATCTCCCTGCTGGGGAGGGAAGCTGAGACCATATGAACACATGACTGAGAGGGGAGTGAGTCAGAGAATCAAGTGGGATAAAACCTCTAATCTTGTTTTTTTAATACACACCAGTACCCAGATCTACCACGGCTGTCGTTTATTCTGCCTCACCCATGACACAGTAATTTTGGCAGAGACTTTAGGCTATTATTTTAAGATAGATTCTAAATGGTATTTTAAGATTGTTGTTTACATGTAAAAATATGCTGGGACAGCTAAGACAATAAAAAAGTCTCTGGAACAGACAATACTGGGGACGCAAAAGAAATAAGAACACAAGATGACTACAAGAAAAAGTTTAAGTATACAAGTCATGCAGCTTGTTTATAGACATTGCTCAGCATCCAGCTTATACATCTGAGGGGTAACGTGACAATGAGAAGACATGCATGTATTCACACGCTTTGCTCTGATAATCAGAATACGCTTGATATCAAAACAAGAGAGTTTAATAAAGTCCATTTTCAACTTAGTCATGAAAGAATAAACCTAACAGAATAACCATGTCTAACACAACCATGAAACTCCTGCCATCACATTCCTCCTCTTATTCATCTCCCTCAAAACACCTTCATCTTCACACCTATGGTAAATTAGACTATTTTACCCACCATCGTTGTCATACTTCTGGTGTCTTTTCTGACTCATTTCCCTCATCTGCTCCCCCTGTTAAATCATGTCAATTTTTTGTTTACAATACATTGTGGAAAAGCTGCAACTTCACCTATCTCTTCTCTTAGCATGAAAAGCTTTGCCCATGTTTTGTTAGTTGTGTCTGGGCTAAAAAATTTCTGCAAGTTTATCACAGTCCCTGCTTCTAGTGCTGATTATGCCGATACTACCAACACCATCATCCTCAGTCTCTCTGATCATGCTTCCCCCCTTTAACTGACTTTCCCTTGCCTTCTCTGACGGCGATGCCTGTCCTACTTTCAACACACGCTACTACGATGAGAGAGCTCTCTTTTCTTAATCTCACTTCGTTTTCTTCATTTTTCCCCAATGCTGCACTTAACTTCATCCCACATCAGCTTTCACAAGTGTGGTTTGATTCCTGTGATTAGAACTACGACCTTAAGGACTGGTATTAGACTCACACCCTCTTTTTCATTCCCTCCTGAGTCACATTCCTTCCATGAAAGTTTCCAATATGAATTAAACTAGAAAATTGCATCAATCAATGTTGCTGTAATATGATTCCTCCTATTCCTAGTGCATTATATTGATAAATAGACTATTTAGCAACAAATACACAATTTAGCAACAGGCAGACATTGAAATAGTAAATAGAGCCTAGATTTACCTAAGCCAAGGTATTCCAAACAGCTAAGATAAGCCTCTGTTTTGATGGGTTTCATTCTCCCCATGCCAGGCTTTTTATACATCAGCACAGGTAAAAATACTCTATTTTGCCACTCTCCAAAAACACATACACTGAGGTGACAGGATGAAATGCACAAAAATGAAATTGGTCTTGACAATACTTCCTTGGCTTGTAGAACTAGAACCAATGTCTAACATCCACCACGGTCTTGTTCTACATGTTTTAATTAATTATCATGCGATATAAAATAGTTTTTCCTTAATAGTGGCCTGGAAGTTAAAAAACAAAAAAACAAACAAAAGGTTTTCATCACATCTCACGGATGGCTTTCATGACATCTTAAGCATGCTTTCAAGAATTAAGACTGTTAATTCCTAAATGGAGGAGAACATTACAAACCTTAGTGTTAAGTGCAACCTGTGATTCTTCTCCTGAAGAAGTTCTTTTACAGTGAACATCCCAGAACCCAACAAATACATCTGGAAGAAGATGAGTATTGGAATCGTAATTATTTACCTTTACAATGAACAAAGGCTTTGTCCACAGCACCAAAATACAATTATTATGCACAAAAGTCTGAGAACAAAAATATCGTTACATACGCCCATGCATAACTAATTGAACCCCTTTAAAATTTACTAAATTTGGTTATTTATCAAAAAACCTTTTTCTGTTGGAGGACAATAATCCCTTTTCTTTCTCTAGGATTTGAGAAAGAAAAAATATATACAATATATACAAGCTTAGGCCTAGCAATACAGGAACACTGAAAGCAATGACTGAATGGGACTCAGACTGACTAGGTTAACACTTCATAGTCTCTCCCTGACCCAAACTTGGCTCATCTTGAAGAATGCACCTCCTCAGGAGGTATTCCTTTTTCCCCAGAGCCTCCCCATGATGCACTCTACAGAGATGCCCTGCTACCCCTGAGGAAGCCATGGAAAAGCACGCATGTGGGACCTGAAACAGCAATCTGGGCAACAGTCCAGAGTTGCCCACAGATCCACGTAGTTACCTGGGAGAGCTGGCACTTAGACTTTTTTCAGTAAGGGAATAAATCTTGCACCTGAACAAAATCACTAAGGGATCAGGGCAGAGGGATTTCTGAGAGCAAATTATCTGGGCAAAATAGCCCAGAGAATCTGTGTGTCAGGAAGCCAAGTGTGTGGATGCTTTCCTGAAGGCAACCTTCTATTCAGAAACAAATTCCTGTTTTGTAAAAACACTCACAAATTTTTGGTATTGTGGAATTCTAGATACTGGTAGTAATAAGTGTCTTTGAGACAACAAATAACCATTTTTCATAATGAATTAGAAAGTGCTCCAAATAGTTAAGTTTCCTCTGATGTTTTTCACCCTGAATTTGAACTCATGTCCCCTGCTGAGAAAAAGGTGGCTTTAGTGTGGGCCCATTTTTTACTAAATTAAGTTTTGGACATTGAAATTATGATTCTTCCCATTATTTTGGATTAAAAACATTTAATGGCAAGTTTTATTTTACAATTTGTGATCTTCTGCAAAAATGCTACAGAAGCCCCCAGGACACCAGGGGACTTTTGTTTTCCTTCCATTTCACACAACATGGATTAGAGGCCAGTAGCAGCCTCTGGTAAAATCTAATCTGCCTGACTTCATCACCAGCTTGCATCTAAACTTTAAGCAGTGAGAGAAGTAGACTTCTAAGGTCCTGAAACAGACTTCTAAAGTTCCTAAACTTAGACAGAAATGATTACTCCCTGTGGAAAACTTCCACCAGACTGTGCCTACTACACGTGGAATTTAGCAGCTCCATTTATAAGGACTGTTTCATTATGGGCTCAACATTTCAGCACAGATTAGAGGCCTCAGTTAGGGGTACTGGATCCCATTTGTTACCTAGTTCAGTAAAGACGTCCACAACAGAAGAGAACAAGTGACAGAACCTCTTAAATTGAAACCAGTGGCTCCCAAACTTGTTGCCAACAAGCCTTATTTGAGAAAATTGGCAATGCTCCCCACTCTGCCAAGTCCATCTCGCAGCATTTGTCCCTCCTTCCCTTACCAATGTTGCTTTCTCTAGGATAGATGCTGCTACCACTTTGCTTTCTTCCACAAAAGTTATTAGTTTTATCTCCTTGCCTCTCGTTTCCTTGCTCCACACTGCCTTGGGAGGCAACAGAATAAAGAAAACTTACTGTTCCCTGAGATCTATCTTTGACGTCGTACACGGAGAGTTTGATTTGTGTCATTTGATTGATAAGAGAGTCTTGGAAAAAGGCAATGCTGCTTAGAAAGATAGGATTACTTGTTCCCTATAATCATAAACAAAAAAGGCAAAAATTAATGCAAGGTGATATTTGTCAGGAAGAAATGCTTCTTCTGTTAGCTTCAATTTTAAATCTAATCCAGGAGTACCTCGCCACTTACCTCAATAATTTCTGTCTGTGCATGCTTCGTCCAGAACGCCTGAGGAGGTGTAGTTACACTCACTGCTACAAAACTATTTGGTTTTCGATCTAGCGATGGAGTTAGCAGCTCACTGCAAGCTTTAGGTATGCAACAGATAAATAAATTTAGATTCAGGATTTTTTTCATACGGCTCTAAGACTACATTTTTATAAAAGCATATCATATACCCTGAGGAATAAATTCATGAAGGGTGTAATATTCATTCTACTGCCACACTATAAAGGCAGACATCACTCACCTTTGTGCGTGCAAACAGTGAACGTGCAATCAGGTCAGCTTGGCTCCAAGCTGTAGAGCTGTAATTTAAACTTGTTTTCTTCTAACACCTGCCTATCCATCCCCCCGGCACAGCTCATTAGAACAGTGTACATGTATAGGTTTTCCTCTGGGAATCTCATGAGCATGGCTGCATTTGATTTGAAGTCACGCTCCATTAAGCCCATTACCAAATGGCATTTTGCCATGGAGAACCAATAGAAATGCTTGAACGTTGATCAAGCAGCACTACTATGAGGACAACTAGCTTGTAATTGTAAAAGGACAGTAGTCTATTTCCTCTAAAATGTTACTGTGAGTTTAACTGCTGGGAAGGGACTATGGTGAGTAGGATACAACTATCAAAAATTTCAGTGAGTGACTCTACACAATTACATTAAACTTCAGAGCCAAATTCTATCTAGCTAGATACAGGTAACTACAGCATGGTCTGACTCTGCTTCAGCTAGATGCAGAAAGTTAATTCTAAAACTTACCTGGGCAAGCAAAACGTTCAAATGTACGCTAAACAGCTTTGCAGTTCTAGATATTTTTAATTTATCTGAAAATATTTAAAGTACCTTATTCAGCTCTAAGGAGTTCTTAAGATTATCATTCATAACACAATTACACACATCTGAGAATTTTTTTTTCTAATTTTTCATTTCAAACATACTGTTAAGAGCATAACCTTCCACGCATTAGTCCACTATTAAGACAAGAAAACCATGCTGCAGTTGAAAATGTAGACTGAATTTTCACAACGAAAATATTTTTCACTTATTCTTCAAGTGCGGTCACAAGCTTCTTGTCCAAATTTAGCCATCCCAGAAATTAGGTCACTTCTGCATCTCACATTATCACTTGACAGCAAAGACCACAGGAAAGAAGGTATGTGTAATAGTTGGTAACACTTAGAAAAAATTCTGTCCTAGAATGGTAAATCTTCAGTTTGTTTGAAGACCTGAACTGCTGATATACTGAGACTGAAGACAGTTTCACTGTATCTTCACATAAACAAAATAAACATTTAAAAATAATATTCACATAGTAAACATTTAAAATTTTATAGGACAGAGGTTTTAATTACAGACTTTTAAAAACATCACAAAATCAAACTGCTGACTGCTTATCAAAAGATACTGTACAGGCAGCAAGAAAACTGTACCACATCTCCATAAAAATCAAAGCAAAGTTTCAGTCCTTACTACATGACAGGCACTTCAAAATCAACAATTAAAAAAACACACGCATACTCAATAGCATGTATCATCAAAATAAGCATAAAAATCACCAAGCCTACCTAAACTGAACTCTAAAATTGGCTCATCTGGATCCTGAATGTTTCCTGTAAATCAGAAAAATTAACACAAGATTAGCCAAACATTGCTGTCATGTGAACCCTTTCCTGAAGCTGCAGTCACACAGAGAATAAAATAAAATTTTATAGAAAAAATTAATATTTTTAATTCAATGAGCCATGACTGGTATTTAAAATATTTATTAGCTAATCTTTGGTATCTAAAAATGATCTGAAAAACCTGAGATGATCTCATTTTATAAAACATGCTAAAATATGTAAAACTATGCAAGATTATATGGAATATGGGAATATAAAATGCCCAATCTCAGTAGAAAACAAGAGGATTAAAGCCACTTAGCATCTGAGCCACTATTAACTCCAAATTATTAAATTGGATACATCTCCTCTGTGATCAGTGAATAGGGAGAAGTTTGAAAGTACCTGTCTCTCTCACTAATCAAAGAAAGCCTCTGGGGGTTACAATCCTAATTTACTCACCATAAAAGATGAGGGAGATAATTCTCAGTTCCCTGAACTCTCTTGAAAATTTTATACAATGTCAAACAAGAAGGTTGCCAAGACTCTTCCTCGACCTTGACATTCTTTTGTTGTTTTCTCCCCATTGCTTATTTTCGACTGATAAACATAACTGCACAAAATCTAGTTTAATTTCTTTTTTTTTCTTCCCTCTCCAATTTTAATGTTTTGTCTATTTTAAAAATGGTAAGTTTAAGATTTTTTAATTTTTTAGTATAATTCCTTTATCTCATTCCTTCCAGATAACTGGACACATCTAAATCTGCTAGCAATTAAAAGAAAAAGCCAATGTTAGTACAAGGTAGATTCTGAAAGGAACAACAGAGCAATAGCTGGCATGAAGGTACGTACCTGCTAGAGAAAGGCCTAGCATGTCAGAGGTGACATCAATGGTGGAGGCCCGTTGCACGGTGCGGGATTTTGCACCGTGGCGGGGACTGTGTTCTCTTGCTGTCATTTTGTCATGAAGAACCCTTCTTTTCTTGCTGCTTGGCTTTACTGATGTTTGTCTTACAGAGTAGCAGAGTGCAGCAGGTTGTCTCCAATTGCTATTCCTCTAACATTACCACGCTAAGCAATAAAGAGAGCAAAAACATACACCAAAACTTTAGGCAACTATCAGCTACTGTTCTTTTTAACAGCAGCAAACCTATTCCCATAAAATTGCCTCAGGTCATTCAAATAAAACACTCAAGGCTGATCCAATGCACAGTAACTCAATTTGCATGAACCGGACATCTGTAGCGTTTTACTGCAAATTGTTGGAGACTGTACCACATGTAAGAAAGGCTCTTCTGTCAGAAAATGGGGGTTGAGAGAGACTTGTTAACAGACCAGCTGCTCTTCTCCTTTGTCTAAGTTATTAAACCATCCTTAATGAAGTTTCCTGGTTTTCATAATCCCTGGGGAGCACGGGTAGATTTGTCAGATGGGGCCTCTGCCTGCAGAGGTGGGACAAGGGATCAGGACAAAGGGACAATGGGCCAGCAGAACGCAGAACAAAAGGGCAGGAAATGTTGTTAGCGTCTGCGCACTGTGTCATTCCAGGCTCTACTGCCATGAAAAAGGGGTACTGAAAACTATAAATAAAACCTACTGAGCCAGAGCGAGGCTGAAATTCTGGGATGGTGATGGAAAGAAAAAGCAAAAGGGGATGCCTGCTGATGTGGCGCATGGCAGCGTCTGTGCTTTTCCTTCGCCCTACACTTTATTGGTCTACAGACATCCATGACAGTTGTTCTTTCCCCCCACGGTGCCTATAAAGTTAACCATTATGCTAGTAAAGAAGCACACAGCCTATAGAAAATTTGGTTACATTGCAAATGTGGTGCTTTTGGTTTGGCTGATAAATTTGAATGTTCCTTCTGTCAGCCACATTAGCACTGCAGTTATGGAACTTTTGTATTCATTTCATACTATTATGACAAACTCCATTCACTTAGGAAGTGAGATTAGGTGCAAAATCTGATAAACTTGAAAGGCAGTAATACAGTGACTAATTCCTCTTCAGTTGAGGGACCTAACAATGGGCAAGATGCATTCTAATTAAATAAAACACCTAGCTTTTACTTGTGTTTTAAATAGGCATTTTGAAACTGTTGAAGGCCTCCAAAGGAACATTCGACCTGCCTAACTTAAGTCTCTAAAATTAACCAGTCAGCATATCCCTCTGGAGGATTTCAAAAGAATCTCCCTCTCTCCACAGGGAACTCAAGCATCTTCTTAACTGGCAGTGGTTCACTGGACATCTAAAATTCAGGCGCAAGTTAAGCATCTAAGACAACTGAATTGAACACAGCCCTGGTCATCTACATGAGCTTAGGAATGAGATTTTAAATGGGGAGTTCATTCTAGGGAGGAAGAAATTTGGGCTGTGTCCACCAGATAGGCTGCTCTATTGCTACTCAGAACTAATAAATCGCCTCAGTGATTCAACTCAGGTTTATACAATATGTCATAAGCCAATTCCAAATAGGAAAAAAGTAAATTCTTGAGTGGAAGAAGCAGATGTTGAGAGCTCTGAACATCCCATCCCCCAAAGCTTCGAAACTCAGTGACAGCATACAAAACAACACTCTGCGTATAGATATAATTTATGACAGCCAAAAATTAAAGCAGGCAGTTTTCCAGTTCATAAGGAATCGCAGAATAGGTGAGGTTGGAAAGGATCTCTGGAGTTCATCTAATCCTACCCCCCTGATCAAAAGCAGGGTCAGCTACAGCAAGTGTATGTCCAGTTGGTTTTTGTACAAGTGGTTAAGTGGCTAGTGAATCACCAGTCTTTCTCTAATAGTACTGAATGTCCTAAGATTTAGGCAAATAAAACTTCCATCAAAATTCTTTGCCAGTTTCCAAGTCTCTCCATTCTACTAATCCTTTTTCCCTTCTTTCAGCAATAGGTTTTTCTTGGTTTGTTCTTTATGAAATGTGACGTTTAATGGTTTGTAAGTCCATTAAACCTAACTGCCTAATGAAACAGAACACCTACAGAATGTGCTTGCAGAGATTTAAGCAGGATGTCATAGCCCCTTTCCCCCAAATCCTACAAATACCTTATTAGAGAATAACTAATATGTTCACATAGGTACAGTTAGGAAGAGTTCAGTTGTTTTTCAGCTAAAATCTCTCTTGCTGACATCCTTAAAAAGGGTCAATCCTTGATAAGTTAAAATAGGGTCAAGTATTTTCTCTGTTTTGAAACTATTTCTATCTAAATATTACTGAGCGCAGTGATTTTCCAAGGCTAAGTTCTCAACTATTCATTTAAACTGCAATATTAATTTCTCACCTAATGACACATTTTTAATTTACTTACACTAATCATACTTACAGAGGGCTCTTTTCCTCATATGTGGAGGGATTCTGCATATCATAACATCAGCTAAGTCCACATCTAAAAAATTAACAAAATAATCAGCATAAATAAGCAATCTTTTTATACAGCGTAAATTATAAACAACAGGCAGGTACCATTCTCAGATTAACTGTAAATTTAACTTCTGATTACTAGCTCTCACATTAAAGTTTACTGAAAAAGAGTATGATCCTCTGCCGGACCTCACCCAGCACTCGTCACAGCAATAGCCAGTCAGAGCAGGAGCACAAAGAAATAAGCTTATGCTGAAAAGGACTGACTTTAGGTCAGCATTCGGTGAGCGGGTGGAATGGCTGTAAGAAACATATGTTAACATGTTTACCGAAAGGCTTGGTGCTATTAAGAGAAAGGAATGTATATGATATGTTGAGTATGAGAAAGCATTTGTTACTACACTTGCTTTTCTATAGTTAAACTTTCAAAATTTTGCTGTTTGGAAGAGTTATAATTGGCACTGTCAGGAGAAAAGATCCTGCGTCAAAAGACAGAAGTTCAAAAGATCAGGATGTAGTGCTCTTTCTCCATTGGGTGAAATTACTATGCGAGGTAGGCTTCTATGAACAGCCAACAATAAGCATATAGGAAAGGTGAATTATTTTTAAATCTACTACAGGTTAACTGAAGGTTTGTATTTGCTAGTGGTACCATCTCATTCCAGTACATTTGCATTAGTAGGATATGCCTTTTAAGACTTCCCATGTATGCCATACTACAATAAAAGAGATGGGGAAGTCCAGTCTGAGCTTTTTGATTTAATTGCCAGCCCTACTAATTACCCAAGACTGCTTAAGAACATAGGTATGAGCTCTTATCACTTATGGAAAGGGTTTTATCTCACCTAAACTGCATAGGAGGCAGGTATCCGATCTCAACTCACTGCCTAGGTTCTCTATATAGTCAATGGTGAGGCACAGGCACTTCCAGAGAATGAGTCACCATTTTCCAAGGTAGGTGGGATGAATCACCCCATGAAGATACCTCGCTCTCTAATTATAGAAAGAACTTAGATGACTAGCTTAGGCCTGATGCTGCAGCTGGGCAAACTGGATCCCTCCCACAGTTGTGTAGCGCAGGCAGTGATGACTTCCCTCTATTCACTGCCTAGCCTGAGAGACCCAAACCACAGGTGCTCTGATCACTCTCTTGAATTACAGCCTTTTCAACCATTACAACTTTATGATCATGTTTTTGATAGAAATCAATGGAGGTAGGATTCCTACCAAATTAAAGATAGTATTACCTTTAGTTTCGAGATTACCAGATAGTTTCCTCAGATGGTACCAAAGACTGGTACCACTCCTGCAGCCAGCAATCCCAAAAGCTGATGTAATTCATGTCCAGGCAAACCCCATCTTGAAGATGGCATGAGGCATCTACACATAGCCTGTGGCTTTGCCCTTACTAATACTGCAGACAGTGGATACTGGCAATATGCGCAGCTTTGCACTTCACAAAGTTTTGCTGCAAGCCCAGTTTTCAACTGTGGCTTCAACAGAAGTATGAAAAGTTGTTGTTGACCCCCGATACCAGCAATGGTCATTCCATTGCGCAGGAAAGGCTTCTGAACAAGCCTCCCATCTGTTAGGTGAATATTTATTTGGTGCTCTATTAGCACAAAAGCACATGACCAGAAGAAAAGATCTTCATCAGATGCCACTTCTGGCCTGCTACCTTCAGTCCTGGCAGTTGGCCGTGGGAAGCAAATGTCACCCTGCTCAGCTGCACGGCCTCACACCCTGTGGGCTTGAAACTTTCAGACATCTGGTCTCACTCTGACTGCTTGCAAGATCTCAAGCAAAAACAATGATCATCTCGGCCCCAAAATAATCCCTTGATGATTAACTTGTACAACTACAAGCTAATATTCTCCTTATCTCCACAACTGTTTTGGCAAAGTGCTTTGGTCTGTTCCCTTCTTGGGAAAAAAAAAATCTCCTACCAAACTACCCCTTGAAACAGATGTGTCAGCTGAGATCAAACCTTTTTTCACCCTGAAACCCACTTTTTGACACTCATTACACAATTGTAAGAAACTGGATTTTCCCAATTCACACATCAAGAAGCAGGAGAAAGAGCCTACTCCAATTATAGTCCAAATTAAAATCTACTTTGAGACTGTACTTTTCTACAGCTATATTGTTCTGGGCTTATGGCATTTATCAGGTAAAGAGGCATGCCAAAGCAGAAAATGCAACAGCAGTGGAACGCTAAATGTTACTGATACATCTACATGAAGGGAGTAATAGAGAAAGGCAGAAGCTTCTTCAATGCATTAAAAAAAATGTCTGGGAATGCAATCCTGCCAGAAGTTTACCATCATCTCCAAGGGGGAGTGAAAATGTAGTTGTGGGGTGGTTACTGAACTGCAATTAGTTTTCCCACTCTCTGGACTGTGAGGTCCACTCTCTGGACTTTACAAATTAGGGTTCCTGTTCCTGAACAATCCATTTTGAAATATCAAAAGGGCTCCTCCAGCCAACTGGATACTTCAGATAACATCTTTGTTAGAAGTTTCTTGTACTCAGGTTGAAAATGTTTTAGCAATACACTGAGTGATCAAAAAAGTGGAAATTAATTCTGCCTGAAACAGTAAGTATTTTGGATCTGGAACATGGCCAGGTTTCCAACTAGCATCTTATTAATTGTACCACTGCGGACAAAATAATGAAAAAGATGAAACACCAGACTCTGCTAAGTTATGACTATGTTGCCTTCCATGTAAGAGTACCATCACTCTAGTATACCTACCAGATAGATTTTTTTTTTTTTTTCTTCTTTTTTACCTCCAACCATAGAAAACCTTGGTAGTGAAACAAGATTTGCCATGCTGGCTCAAGACCAATCTTCCAGCAATTCCAGCATCCCATCTCCAACAGCTGTTTCAAAGAAGATGCAAAGAACTTTACTGACCCTGCTTCAGGGTCTGAGGTGAAGGTCTAGACCAACCCTATCACTCATGGCTGCAGATGCAGACCAAGAGCAGAACATCAGCTCAAGGACAGCAGCTCCCAGCCTGCTAAGACCCGACACTGATTAAGAGCTATTTTTTTACAGTCTCATGAGCACTTCGCTCTTCTGTCTCATTTAACGAACGTCCTGAATCTCACACAAATCACAACAACAGGAAAACTCAGAGCCATGAGGTTGACACCTTGAGTCAGATTCTTCCTTCCGGCCAAACTCGTGGGGGCAGCAACACAGACTACATCTACTGCAGATCCATTGGCTGACAACAGAATTTCACTCCCCCTTAGGTACCCCATGATCTAGGACATCCTGCTTACCGTGCCCCGTGGGAAGGCAAAAGAAAGTAAGTGGTGCCAGCATCCATTATGGACCTTTGCCTCTGACTGAAATGACTGCCCCACCAAGAATGTTCTTGGCAGATGCTAGTCTGTCAGGTCCACAAAGAGCCTGTATTTCCCCCTCTCGGTCTGCCCCTTAGGTCTAGGTTTCCCTCTCAAGCTGGTTCAATGCTCCCCTCTCTCACTGACCAGAATCTTGACTACCAAGGACAAAAAAAAAAGTTTGCCCTGAAGAGTCTTCTTGTCACTCTCTGAAGCCCTCCTCAGGATTCTGAGCAAGTGGGTGACTTCAGCAAGAACAGTGAAAAGTCTTCCACAAGAAAATGAAATAAACTACCGCAAGATACAATGAATGTATTTGTGCAGCATGGAAATCCCCAAATGCAACCTTTCACTGATATTTAGATAAAAGGCCATTTCAGCAGCAGAAAGTAACTTTCTCTTTGCTTTCCTGTCCACCCTCTCCCACTTACTTGTAGAGAAATCTGTAAGGCACAAACTTTCTTCTCGATCCTTCCCCCCTATGAACTTCAGCAAACTCAATTAATCTAAAAACCTAATTTTATCTCTTTAATATATTTGAGTACTTTTAATAGAAAACTACAATTTAGGCCACTCAGTTCTTTGTGCAAATTAAGACTATTTGTCTATATTCACAACTGAAATACAATTAGCGTTCTTCTTAATGAGATATTGTTTTAATTTCACTTGTCATCACACCACTTCTATTTCTTCAGCACTTCTTCTGTGAGCACAAAAATATGCACACCCACAGGTGGAAGTGAGCGTTTGTAACACACACGTTTGCCAACTAAAAAAGAAAAAGCACAGCTCTGTTTCAGTTTGCAGAACAGCTTTTATCAAGTTGAGCACAGCATAATGCCATGGAAAATGATGAGCCTTGCTACAGAGCAGTTTGAAGTCCAACCCTCTCAGCCTCCTCCATTGTTTTACCAACAGAAACCGAAACAGCTTACAAATGGTCTTTACTCTAAATGAATCTTCACCCTTGTCACAAGAAATGTGCTGGGTACATTGTGGTGAAGTTTCCTGTGCATGGGATGAATTTTCTCCTCATGACCTGGGGTTCTCACACTACCCATACAGACACGGAAAAGCCCCTATTTTCTGGGAGAGATATTCTGGGGACATATTTTCTGTTGAGGAGTTTGGACTGGAAACACATTTCTGAATTAGATGGTCCTTTGGACACGCTCCTAAAGCCTGCCTCTTCTAAAGCCTTCTTTCATCATAACCATGATGCTCACGCTGCAGAAACAGCATTGCTCTAACTGGAAAAAACAAAGAGTTTAGCCCCCTCTCTGAGCTCCTCCTGCTGCAGGAAAGGGTGGGGTAGGGGAACAAAGACAGAAAAACCAAGAAAAACGTCAACAGTTTATGACCTGAAACGGAGATGAACTAGACACACCTTAACATTTGCTAAAGATTTCATATCGCTGTTGATTACAGACGGATGGCAGTAAAATATCCTCCAACATCCAGGCAATGAGAGAGAGGGACCACAGAAGACAGAGGGATAAAAGCACTGCAACTGGATCTGCCATCAGAAGTTTTGGTCGAGCTTGGATTACAACAAAAAGTCTAGGGAACTATCTGATCTATCTGCCTATAATACTCATACACTTTACAGACTAACGTAGCACTAGTTAAAGCCAGTGTATTCTGGTCAAAACAACCAGCGGTTAGCACT